AAATCATTCTCTCTCTACTATCTATCATCTCTCTACCCTGACTCTTCATCGGAGGCGGCCATCAACTTCGGCGACTGCTCCGACGACTATTCCAACCATCGCTCTAGCAATCGCTCCGACGACCACTCCGACATCTTCTTCGGCCGCCACTCCGAAGGCCTCTCCAGTAAACTGCTCAAATGACCATTCAAACACATGCTCCGATCAACCAACCCACCCCATCCACCCACTCCCAAATTCCAAAAAAAAATCTAGAATTTCAATTCACAATCGGTCACAACAAGTCACAATTAACCAGTCACAATAAGCACATATTTGGTCACAAATGGTTACCACGAACAATTTGCACCCACCACAGCAAATTGGATAAAAAAAAACCACCAACAAACTCCAACAATTCAAAAATCAAATCTACTGCATAGATCCACATAAAATAATTGATTTTTGTTGTTCTACACTAAATTTTTTTTCTACCACCACAACCCACATCACCACCACTTCCAAACTACCGTTGCATCCTCAATAACAACCACTATCACCATCTCTACAATGAGAAATGAGAATATCTACGAAGAGGAAGACCAAAGCAGATCACAAACACTCGTCCCATACTCCACCCGCCACCACAACCACGTCCCAATCCCCTACAATCACAACATCACCTCCATCAACATCAACAACCACAGTTTTACCTCTATCAACACCAAAAACAATAGCCAACAACCACTTCTCAAGACCAGGCGCTGCTACAGCGAACGACAACACTAGCAGTAGCGACTCAGATCTGATTATCCCGACGATTAAGCAGCACGTGGTCGCGTTCACCAGCTGGCCATCTCACCTCACCTAGTCGATGGTTTTCATGAAACAACACCATCAAAAACAGATTCACGAATGCACTGCTCAGATCTATTTTTTCTTACCGCAGGCAGTCACTCCACGAATGGTGAATCACGGTAGTGTTGCTGCGAGATGATAGAATGGGAAAAAGGCGATTTGGGTTGTTGATGCCAAAATCAGTTGGTTGGTCTCTGAGAGAGAGAGAGAGAATGGGCTAGAAACGATTTCCTCCGCCTTTAATCGGCGCTTCAAGCTGCTGATCGCAGTTGTGCGCGGCCTTGTTGGCTGGAGCTTCGTCACAACCTAGGAGAGAGAGCGAGAGAGAAATAGAGATGAGAGAGATTAATTTAATTTTGATTAAAACCTAAGTTTAATATATAATTATTAGGTAATACCTGATTTTTGATTAAATAAAATTTACATCTGATTTTTGAATTTGTAAACTAAAATGTCTGATTTTAGGTAATTTTCTCTAAAAATTAAGCCCATGTTTGGTATACATTCTTTCAAAATATATTATTTCAAAACTCATTTTCAATCACACATTCTTCAATAAAATAATATTTTCCATCACATCAATAATTTTTTCTTACTTTTAATCATATATTTCACATC